GCAAATGGCATTATTTTGTTCTTTTTTGTGACTAAGTAGTATTCCATTGTATGTATGTACCACACAGAATCACGCACATAGAGAACAGACTGGTGCCAAGAGGAAGGGGATTGGGGGAGGGATGGAGTGGGGTGTTGGGGTTAGTAGATGTAAGCTTTCATATACAGAATGGATAAACAACAAGGTGCTACTGTGTAGCACAGGGAACTATATTCAATATCCTAGGATAAACCATAGTGGAAAAGAAGATTTTAAAAAAGAATGTATATATATGTATAACTGAATCACTTTGCTGTACAGCAGAAATTAACACAACATTGTAAATCAACTATACTTCAATTTAAAAATTAGTTTGGCAAAAACAAAACAAACAAAAGAGATACATGCTTTTCACAGCCAATTAGAAGATGGAAGGAAGATTTGACTGCTGTTGCTTGAATCAGCAATGTGTGTACTAGTCGACATGGCACCTGTATGCAAATTAGAAAAAGATGACTCTTCCCCAGGCTGACATAGCTTCACACAAGCGCTTGTCAAGAACAGCACGGGTTGGACTTCTGCCCTCACTCACCCCCTCGGCCAGGAGTCCCGTGTGCTGACCACACATCTCGGCTTTGCTAGTGGGCTCCTTGTTAGGCTCTGACAATAGGGGACGCTAGAGGGAGCCCAAAGGGCTGGAGGAGGAACAAGGGACTTGCTCCCGCCTGTGACCCTCCTGGTGGCTGTGTTCTTGCCAGTGGTACTCCATTAACACTTCTTCCCCGTAGCAGCAGTTAAATCCCGTGTGCAGTTCTCTCAGCACTTGCAGGACTAGTTGTCTCGTGCCCCCTCAAGGACACCTGGCACCAGACCCTTCCTCAGAGGTGGGTCCCAGCTCAGTGAGGCACCTCCTCCAAACCCAGAGACACCAGCGCCCCCTGAGCAGCACCCGCTTCCTCAGAAGTCTGAGTTTCAGCTCCACAGGGCCCCTCCTCTAAGTTTCTACATTTTAATAATAATTCTTACCTCTTGACATTGTTTCCTCAATCCTGAAGGTAATTAACCGTTTCCTGTAGTTGCTACCTCGACAATACATTCGATTTCTCTTTATACCTTTATGGTTACCAAGTTGACAGTCATATATCTAATTGACAGTTCATTATGTTAAATTCTCTTTGTCAAATAACTGTGTAGTTTCTGTCTCTTGACTAGACCCTGATGGGTACAAAGAGGAAGATGAAGTAGAACAATAAAGGGTAAAATCTACATACATGGTATTTTTCTGAACTGCCCTAACAGACAGACTATGCAAAAAGGGGAAACTTTCCATCAGCCTCTTGAGCTGGGGATTATTGCCAGAATCAAAAAACTAGCTGGCTTAGTTGGCAAGCTCCCCTTAAGGAATCCTGGTTGGAGAGCGATAAACCCAACCTACATCTTTCCAAAGGGGTTGTATTAATCACAAACAGGTTATTCTACAATAACAAGCAACTCTCCAGTTAGCAATGACTTAGAACATTTACCTATCTTAGAGGTTTCCTGGTAGCCGAGGATCTGCTGCAGCTCTGTTCCATGGCTCTGCTCCAAATATCTTCTTCATTTGGAGGCCTGGGCCAAAGGTGGGATGCCCCTCTCCTTGTCTCCTGGCACAGGGAAGAGGGTAAGAGTGGAACCAGACAGTGGCTGCTGGGAGGAGGCATAAATCACCTCCACTTGTGTCTAAAAGCAAAGTCAAGTGGTCAAACCCATTATCAATGGGGCAGTTTGGATAAAGGGTGAACAAAATTTTTTCCCCGCTGTGTAAGAATTCAACCTTTAACCTCACTAACTCTATTCCCCTGGAACCAGATGAGAGTAATATGTTAACAGTGTTCCTCAACAGCTTTGCTTATAATAAAAATGATCTCGGATTGGAAGTTGCATCTGTACTGGGAGGAACTCTAAATGCACGATAGACCCCTGGTGGAGGCTGTGTAGCTTTTAGCTTTCCTGAGTGTGGTGACTGTTTTCACTGGGCGTGTCCTTGTGGGGATGCTAGAAGTTATGGCTCTGAAGCTGTTAAAGGACATATTGGCTCCTGTGGGGTAGGAGTGGTTCCTGCACCTGCCCCAGGTAGATCTCATCTTCTTGCACTTGAGCTGTCCCTAGGCAGCTGTGTGACTTGATGTCCCAACAGAAGAGGAACACCTGATGGCGCCCTGCTGGCAAACTGTGGTTCCTCTCCTGTGTTCTTCTGAGTGACTCCGATGCCAAAGTGGTCGATGGTAGATTTGTGCGTCTGAATGCTGAGTTGAACCTAAAAATACCGCATGGTGGGCACTGTAGGAGCAAATGTATACTCTTCCACAGGGAAGCACTACAAAGGTGTAGGCCCTTCTTACAGGGAGAGGAGCAAGTAATCAGGTGCAGTAATAAACTACATGGGAGAGTCTCCTGCAGGACCCTGGTACCTTTCAGTAAATAATAGATTGAGAACTACTGATCAATAGAGGCAAATGGAAAGAGAAATAGGTTTGTGACTCAGAGAGATCTCAGAAGCCTGGATCTCTTGCTTACTGCTTGTAACTTGACTGATCGAGCATCAGAACCATCACCTATGAATTTATTATCATTCTGGCCTTTTTACTAAAAAGGAAAAAAAAAAACAACTGAAACTCAGTTAAGCAAAAAAAGTGGAATTATGTGTTCATGTGATTGAAAAGGGCAGGGATGGAGTTGTAATCTAATGGACTTGAGTCTCCAGGACTCTCTTTTTGTCCGTATCTCCAATTTATTTGGCTGCTTGGCTTCATCCTATCCTACTTCAGGAAGGATTTTTTTTTTTTTTTTTTTGCCGTACGCGGGCCTCTCACTGTTGTGGCCTCTCCCGTTGCGGAGCACAGGCTCCGGACGCACAGGCTCAGTGGCCATGGCTCACGGGCCCAGCCGCTCCGCGGCATGTGGGATCTTCCTGGACCGGGGCACGAACTCGTGTCCCCTGCATCGGCAGGCGGACTCTCAACCACTGCGCCCAGGAAAGATATTTTTTACATGACAGAGCTGCTGGCAGTTTTGGCGCACATTCTTACAATGAGCATATATAAGTTTTTAAAATTAATGGTTTCATTTTAAAATGTGACTGGGTTCTCTCATTATCTCACCTGTCTTAATTAGATGAACGTCTTTATTTAGGCTAATTGTCCTGACGTTTGTACATTGAAGGCAATCCTTCTTACTAGAGAAGCTGAAGCGAAGGTAGAAATTGAGTAAACTGATTATCATAAAGTTCTATGTATGGTCGGGACCATGGAGATCACCTGGTCCATGAGTTCTGCCCTCATCTAACCTTACAGCATCCTTCCCAGGATGCTGGCTTACCCTTCTCTTGTTCTTGTTCAGATCATGCCTTGAAAGTCTTTCCATTTTTATTAAGAATATTCACAAACTTACATTTATTCTGGACTTTAATCTTTGCAACCATCCTAGTGTCTTCATATGTTTCTCCAATTTTTTCTCCTTTGGAATTTTTCACATTTATGCAGTCAGATATTTTTGTTCTTCTTTTTTTTTCTTTTTTGGCTGTGTCGGGTCTTAGTTGCGGCACAGGGGATCTTTGTTGAGACATGTGGGACCTTTCTCGTTACAGGGCACGGTCTACTCGGGTTTCTCTCTAGTTGTGGTGTGGGCTCCAGGGGGCCTGGACTCTGTAGTTTGCTGCACGCAGACTCTCTCGTCGAGGCGCACGAGCTCAGTAGTTGTGGTCCAGGAGCTTAGTTGCACTGCGGCATGTGGGATCTTGGTTCGCCGACCATGGATCGAACCTGTGTCCCCTGCATTGTAAGGTTCTTTACCACTGGACCACCAGGGAAGTCCAAGTCAGATATTATTTTAGAATGTTCTCCTTTTTTCCTATTACATATGGTATTTCTCTGAATTTTTGTATACCTGCTTTTCTAAACCTATCCATTCTGTTAGGATGTAACTATTTCATAGTAATTTTTTTCCCATATAACCAGTCTTTTCTTTCTTATTGGTAGGGAAAAAATTAGAATATTGGGTTTCCCTTTGACTTTCTCTACTTTCTAAGAATGTTTCGGTTAGAGGTCTTGGTTGCAAACAAAGAAAATAAATCTAGTTTGGTTAAGGAGAAAAATGACTTTTGGAGGGGCTGAAAGTTGCACAATAGGCAAGAAGGCTGGATAAACAGACTTGGGCAGGAACACAGGTGAACAAAGCACAGCCAAGATCCTGCCAAAAGAGCCATCTGTGCAGGATGCCCTATTGGCACTGGCCCTGCTTGAGAGTCACAGCTGTGCTGCTGGCATCTGCTCCCTCTGCACATTTACTCTCATGCCTCCGAACTCAGGGTGTCTCTATCTATACAGTGACTGGACTGACATTACCAGAATCAACTGTTAATTAACCAGAAAGACTAGCATTCCCTTTCAGTTTCCATGCTGTCAATCAGAGCTCTTTGTTTCTTATTTCTCCCCTTGGGATTCTCCCAAACAAAGAAGGTGTCCATGTACTGGGTTACCAAAACAAGAACTGACCTTTACAAAAATATCCAAGAAATGTAAGGATTTGTCAGCGTCATTCCTTTAACATAATTGTTTTTCAGGATGTTGGTATATTTGAATTCTTACATTACCACTCTAGCCTGTCCCTCTGCAGTTTTTATCATTTATATGAGGAAAGCATCTTTTATATAATCTACCATCCTATGTCCTCATTATAATCTAACAGCAATAGCATTTTTGTTTGTCCCTGTTTTTATCCTAGTCTGAGGTCCTATGAGATGTTCAAACTGTGTTCTGTGGAGGGAAACTTACCATATAACATTGAGAAGCACTACAAACTATAACTCCCTTTTGAAAATTTTCAAAGCACAGTAGCATATTAAAGGTTTGGGGAAATCTTGGAGTAAAGAAATGTGTTTAATTTTAACTCAGCTTTGACCATTCTTACTAGACTATTGTTCTAGTTATCTGACTATTGGCCTCCAACTTCATATTGGCCTTCACCTCTTTTTTGCATCTCAGGGGCCGGAAACCTGAAAACTACATCTCCCAGACTCTCTCTCATCTGCTGGGTCTGATTAGGTTCTGGCACGGGAGGTCCTGGCAAGAGGTTACAAAGCAGGAAGCGCAGAAGAGCCCTTACTTTCCTTCTTCTGCTCTGGCTGGGGCAGCAGCGGTGGCAGGCCATCACAGGCCACACAGATTGCTGTAATAGTGGCACAGTCATAGCAACAGTGCCAGAAGACAATTAGCAGCTCCAGCAACAGCAACATCTTTCAGCAAAAACGGGACTGTGGCTTCCAGAATCCTGAACCATCACAGGGACCTCTGGCTTCCTGTGAAGCAGCAGCTGCTGTGGTTCCAACAGTGGCAGTGCAGCAGTGGTGCTCTCAAAGCCCCAGCAGCACAGCACTCAGGGGATCTGGGCAGCACCCTTTCCCTTTTTCTCCTCCTGCCTTATAGTTTGGCAGCTTCCTGGACTTACTGATATCTGAGTAGCATCCTTTCACCTTTTGGCCCCTTCAGCCCTTCTAACACTTTTGCAAACAATTCTCTATATCAAAGGCTAAAGGTTAGAAATACCCAAATTGTGGGACTTCTCTGGTGGCACAGTGGTTAAGAATCCGCCTGCCAATGCAGGGGACATGGGTTCGAGCCCTGGTCCGGGAAGATCCCACGTGCCACGGAGCAACTAAGCCCTTGCGCCACAACTACGGAGCCCGTGTGCCACAACTACTAAAGCCCGTGCGCCTAGAGCCGGTGCTCCGCAGCAAGAGAAGTCACCGCAGTGAGAAACCTGAGCACCGCAACAAAGAGTAGCCCCTGCTCACTGAAACTAGAGAAAGCCCGCACGCAGCAACAAAGACCCAACACAGCCAAAAATAAATAAATAAATATATTAAAAAGAAAAATACCCAAGTTGTTTCTATCATTCTGACTAGACACTGAAAGATACAAACACAGTAATTTCCCCCCCAGCAAACATAACATCTTTTATGACTACAGTATTCTGCATGACATAGTTTAGGAAAGGCAAACAGCCCAAATTCTCTCTACCTTTCTTCTGTTTTCTGGTTGTTGTTTTTCTATAAATAAGTACTTTGACTATTTACAGTGAGTGAGGGAAAAAATGGGAAGAATTAAAAGTGGAGATAGAGTAAGATTTTATATTTTCTTGAGCATGAATAATCATGTGTGCTTAAAGATCAGATTTATAAATAGGGATACAGAATTCCATGTTCTTGGTGAAGTTTACTAAGAGAAACTAACACCTCACAGATGAACCAATGCTCCTAAGTATAAGTTTTGGTTCTCAAATATCTGCTGAAGAAAAACCATACACATTTCAGAACTGTAATGAGTCAACAAGCTGAAACCAATTTTGCCCTTCAAAGTACTTCAAAGGAAAGGTGTACCTCAGCCACTCCTATATTCTTTTTTCTAGAAGGTAAACGAAGGTGACTAAAGCAATTGGTGATCTGAAGCCTGTATTTTTCTTATATGGACCAAAAAGCCCTCATAAGGATTTTGAGTTTCATTATTCATAATGAGTCCTTTCTATCCCTATAACAGGCCAAGCTTGTTCCCCGCCTGAGCCCTGGCTCTTTGCTCAGCTGGTTCTCTTTAATGATCAAAGTCCAAGCTCAAATTGCTGCCCCCCACAGATAGGTCTTCCCAGACAACTTTATCTGAGACTTCTCCACCCTCCTCACCATCTCTCTCCATCAGCCTGCATCCCATTACCCTGTCTTACTGTCTTCTTAGCTCCTGTGTACGCTATCTGAAATTACCATTTTGATGTATTTATTTGTTGATTGTTCATCTCCTCCCTCCACTATGTGATCTCTTTAAAGATATCCCTGGGATGAACATTTTTTTTTTGTGGCTGCATTGGGTCTTTGTTGCTATGCGTGGGCTTTCTCTAGTTGCGGCAAGTGGGGGCTACTCTGTTGCGGTGCGCGGGCTTCTCATTGCGGTGGCTTCTATTGTTGCGGAGCTCGGGCTCTAGGCGCGTGAGATTCAGTAGTTGTGGCACACGGGCTTAGCTGCTCCACGGCATGTGGGATCTTCCCAGATCCCACAGGGATCAAACCCATGTCCCCTGCGTTGGCAGGAGGATTCTTAACCACTGCACCACCAGGGAAGCCCTGTGATCTCTTTAAGAATGAAGATTAAAAAAAAAAAAAAGAGTAAAGACCTGGTCTGGCTTATTCATTGCTATATCCCAGGGCAGTCCCTGCACACAGCACGGATGCAATAACCATTTGCATCATGAATGAATAAGTAACTGACCTCCCCTACTATGTTCAATTGTTCAAGACACTGTGCTGGACCCTGTACAATGTTAAGATGGTCCCTGCTCTTTTTGAAACACTACCATGTCAAGTGTGAGCCAATGTTCCTAAAGTTTGGGTCCATAAATATCTACTGAAGAAAGATAGATCTTAGTTTCATGTGAAAGTAATAAAACAATATATAGTCAACAGAAAATTAAATAAATCCAATAATTAATGTATGCTTTGTTCACAAATGTTCAAAGTTCAAGTTTACATACTTATCTGAATTCTATAAATCCTCCGAATTTATTAAATGAGGTCTAAGATTATGTAAGAGATCAAGCTTTTATGATTCTGATTCCTGTACTTACAAGATTTAGGACGGAGTATTGGCAAGTGCCCTGGAGTACTGGAATCAGAGGGCCTGCCACAGGCAGGCTCTGGGTCAATTGACAATTAACTGTTGATCCTCAGTTTACCCTTGGAAATACTGATATCTACCCCACAATAACCACAGAGATATGTGAGGTTCAAGAAATAAAAGAAAACCAATTATAAATAACTTTTTTTTTTTTTTTTTTTTTGGCAGTACGCGGGCCTCTCACTGCTGTGGCCTCTCCCGTTGCGGAGCACAGGCTCTGGACGCGCAGGCTCAGCGGCCATGGCTCACGGGCCCAGCCGCTCTGCGGCACGGGGGATCCTCCCGGACCGGGGCACGAACCCGTGTCCCCTAGCATCGGCAGGCGGACTCTCAACCACTGCCCCACCAGGGAAGCCCTATAAATAACATTTATTGGTCACTTCATAACAGACTAAATACTTGACATTATTGTTCATATCAACTTCATAATCCAATGAGGTAGGTCATTATACTTTTTATTTTATAGATTCGGGATCTGAGACACAGAGCGGTGATGTGACTTAATCAAGGTCACAGGACTTGTAAGTGGTATGGCCAGGGTTCAAACCCAGAGCCTATGTACTAAACCATTATGTCTTATGCCTTCTAAATAGTAAAAAGTTGTTCAAAGGTGATGTGTCAATTCAATTAAGAAGTTCTTGCAACAATAATCAGGAGACCGCACAGTTCTTTCAGCAGTAATCAAGAGACTGCATAGTAAGATCCTATTTTTCATAAGCTCAACTTACATCTACTGAACCCAAAGCCAATGCTTCTGGTATTCTCAGTAGCTGCATCTAATTTCCAACAAAATCATGGGAGTAAAATTCAACGCTGAGTCACCATATAAGTCCTGGATTCTGCATAGCATGCTTTATTGGCAAGTATTCCTTTGTTGTGATTTAGCCAAACCAGAAAAAAAAAAAAAAAAAAAAGGCTGACATTGAACTTGCATCTCAAATCTGAAAAAGCCTCTCTGAATTCCTATGTATAAACCATTGTTAGAAAGAATAAGTACAAATCAAGGGAATTAAGTTTAATCCCCCTAATAAATAAAGAGAGCCTTAGCCAGGGTTAGGGAGAAATCTCTTCCAGCAGCGCTCTTAGGAAGGATAGGGATTTACCGTACTGTTTTGCGTTATTTGCTGAAGCATTTAGAATAAGCCGCTGTCTGAGGGAGCAGACTACATCAGGAAGGAGCTTAACTCTTCTAAAATTAAAGTGTATATTCAATCTCTTATTGGATTTTTTCTTTGAAAAGCACTTGTTTCTAATACACAATTTCTTCACTGTCGGTTGAGAACAATAATTTCAAGATCACAGATAGGACCCTGGTGTCTAAGGATTTTCTTAAATTTTTAGCTCTGGCAGAAGAAAAGTATAATTTCAGGGGAGTCTTCCAACTTTAGCCAATCCTGGGCCTGAGAAATAAATAAGATCAACGTAAACAGTCTGGATAACTGACAAGGAAATGCTTCACTGTCACGCTCAGCATGGTTATGAGACTTAGGAGCGTCCTCCATGATGTCGGAATTCTTCTTGCCAAAACAAAACAACTAAGATAAAATACCAAGCTATAACAGACCTCAGCCAAAGAGGAAAGAGTAAGAAGAAAAAAATATAACCACTAATTGTTACATCTGCTGCATCACTATTTGAGGTAAGCGTCTTCTCCTCTCACCCAGACCCTTAAACAATCTTAGCAAAGTAAAGGTACCATGCTGTCTTATTTTATTTTGAGGTAGCAGTTCTCAAACTTTTTAGTCTCAAGACCCCTTTATACTCTTAAAAATTATCAAGAACTCCAAAGAATTTTGGGTTGGATGATATCTAATAAATGGGAAATTGTTAAAGTTCAGGCATACCTCAGAGATATTGTGGCTTCTGTTCTATCACCGTAAAGCGAATCTTGCAATAAAGCAAGTCACATGAATTTTTTGGTTTCCCACTGCATATAAAAGTTATGCTTACACGAAGCTGTAGTCGCATTTTGTCTAAAAAAAGTACACACCTGAATTTAAAAATACGTTATTGCTAAAAAATGCTAACCATCACCTGAGCCTTCAGTGAGTCATAATCTTTTTGCTGGTGGAGATTCTTGCCTCAGTGTTGATGGCTGCAGACGGATCAGGACGGTGGTTGCTGAAGGTTAGGATGGCTGTGGCAGTTTCTTAAAATAAGACAATGAAGTTTCCTTTCACAAACATTTCTCTGTAGCATGCAGTGCTGTTTGACAGCATTTTACCCATAGAACTCTTTTCAAAATTGGAGTCAATCCTCTCAAACCCTGCTGCTGCTTTATATAATAGTCCTTTGTTATCATTTCAATAATTTTCACAACATCTTCAACAGGAGTAGATTTCATCTCAAGTAACTACTTTCTTGGATCATCCATAAGAAGCAACCCCTCATCCATTCCAGTTTTATCATGAAGTTGCAGCAATTCAGTCATCTCTTCGGGCTCCACTTCTAATTCTAGTTCTCTTGCTGTTTCTACCATATCTGCAGTTACTTCCTCCACTGAAGTCTTGAACTCCTTGACATTATCCATGAGGTTGGAATCAACTTCTTCCAAACTCTTGCAAATGTCGATATTTTGACCTCTTCCCATGAATCTCAAGTGTTCTTACTGGCATCTAGAATGGTGAGTTATTTCCGGATTTCAATTTACTTTGCCCAAATCCATCAGAGAAATCACTATCTATGGCAGCTATTGCCTTACGAAATTTATTTCTTAAAGAATAAGACTTGAAATTCAAAATTACTCCTTGATCCATGGGCTGCAGAACAGATGTTGTATTAGCATGCATGAAAACAACATTAATCTCTTTGTACAGCTACATCAGACGTCTTGGGTGACCAGGTGCACTGTCAGTGAGCAGTAATAGTTTGAAAGGAATTTTTTTTTCTGAGCAGTATGTCTCAAGAGTGGGCTGAAATTCCTCAGTAAACCATGCTGTAAACAGATGTGCTGTGTGTCATCCAGGCTGTGTTGTTCTA